GGTGGAGGTGGCATATTATTTTGTTGTGAAGAAAATACTGTTGATTGAGGAACAGCTTGATTGAATTGATATGATAAATTTCCATTTTGTGGAAGATTAGAATGTCCAATTTCAATAATTAACTAAAAATAAGAATAGATTATTTCTCAATAAAATTTTACATAATTGAATATAAACTTACATGGTAAACCAATCTAATTCTCTGACCACGTCCGTATCCTCCAGCCCAAGCTCTAGTTGCATCTAATCGCCAACTACATGGTGTTGGTGTTCGGGTCGAATATTTTATTGATTCATTTGCAACTGCTTGTCGCATTCGAGTCATACGTCTTGTTTGTACAATAAAACATCCACATGATAAGGTTAACATTCCTAAAACAAACACTCCTAATCCAATACCAAGTAATATAGGAAATCCATGTGAACCAAGTTTTGAAGCTGTTAGGCTGCCACTAATAAATAATATCATTCCACCTACTGTACAAATAATACAGATAAGACCCAAAATAAGAAGAGATTTTCGTGAAGAGATTGTTTGATTAATATTATGAATTGATTGCTGAAATTCATCTTGTCTTATTATTCCATTTAAATGAATAGGATAAGTTGAATCAAATTCTGATTTCAAACATCCAGCTGTAACATAAAAACAAATGAGAATTTAATATTCATATAAATATATCTACTTACTCGTAACTAATGCTACTACAACTGCATTTGGATTTACAGGAGCAACGACAACCATTTGTTTTTTTTTCTATATAAATAAAATTAAAATGAATAAAAGCATTGCAATAGGAAAAGAAATTTATGAATAACATGGATTTGTTTTCTTTTCTCCGCTTCTATATATTTAATAGAGAAACACGTTTTTTTATACCAACAGAACAAGAAAAACTATGGAAACTACTGCTCGTCTTCTTGATAAAAGTGAAAGAGAACAACATTGAACGACAAGAAAAAGAAAGAACTGCTAAATAATCATATTTTCTATAAAAAGAAAAGAAAAGTAGAGCATTTATTTGCAGAATAGAAAAAAAAGAGATCGAGTTTTTCATAATAATGAACCTCACATAATGAAATATAAAATTATCATTTTTTCAAGCATGTATTTTGTAAATATGAATGTTTTTCATATGAAGAAATAAAAGCAAAAGAAATAACTGTGATTTCATATCTTACCTATTTTTAATAGTTATTATAGTTGGCGAAGAAGTGAGTTTATAACTTGAGTATGAGCATTTGTATGGCTCTAATCTACACTCTCATCTTCAGAACATTGGTATTGATGGCTGGGAAAGTTTTCAAATTTTTCATTAACCCTCCGGTGATGTTTGCGAGCCCAAGAGACCCGCAACAGTAGTTTTTTGTTTTTTCTACTTTAAGATCTATGCAAATCGAAACGATCTTTTCGCTAATCGTTAATCTTCTAATGACACATAAGAACCATATAAAATTTCTTGCAAAACGATCAGCAGTGAAAAACTAGAGTGTAGATCCGTTTGGATCCCCTGGCAACATTCATGTTATATGGATGATTTTTATTCGTATTACGTACGCCATCTATAATTTCGAAGGTCTATTCATTGAAGATTGATTCGTTTGTTGCTGTCAGTAAGGAATAATATGTTTCTCTATCCTTATCTATCTATCGAAATATTTTCACTATTCTCTTAACTTTTGCTCACGATGATCGTAATCTTTTTTTTTTCTTGAAAAATCAGCATGTTACGTACACTAGAAGCGTATCAATGCATCAGTGACTGAAAAAAGATTATGACATAGACCTTGATCTATCTTATATAGTACATTACAGATGAAATTTCACGTTTTTCTTATGTATTAACGTGTGGGTTCACTTGGACCCACATACATCATTCGTGTGACAAAAAGCGAACATCACCGGAGGGTTAATCGACGGCGGATTAACTACCGATTATTATTGATGATAAAAACAAGATGTATAATCTAAACTATGAAGTTATACTCATGAATATATTTAATAAAACATAGATATTAAAAAAAATCGTATTATAAAATTGAGTAAAACGATACAAATTTTACGTTGTCAAAGGCATATTAGAAATAATATCATCCATCTTATTGATAATATCAGGTGTATTTAAATCTGTTAAATCATCTCCCTTTGTCATCCATAATACGAAATTATCTGCAAGAATTTCTTCCGGATGAATAATATAACCTGTATTATTTCCAATTTGATCATAGAAATTGCTCGCTTCTTTATATGATAAATATTCCAATGGTTCTAATGGTTGATAAGTAATATCATCTAAGATCAATGTTGTTGCAGTTAAATAATAAAAAAAATTCGTTGAAACTTTAGGATTAAATGGTCGAGATGCATGTAAAATTGGTGTACATTTATATATTTTCTCATTTTTATCATCTTCTTTTTTTAAATTAATATAATATTTCATTGGAATAGGTGCATCTGGATTTGTCATCTTTAATTCATTTAAACTAATTGGAAATTCAATATAATTTTCAATGGGTATTTTATGAAATCCTATACTTGCATATAATTCATCACGAATTATTGAATTCGTATTCCATTTACTCCACATATGAAATAATTCATGAATTAATATTTTATATACTTGTCCAGAAAGAATCATGTTTCGTGGAAGTATAATAAGATCTTGATTGCGACAATATGCAGCATCATTTTCATCTTTACCATTTGTCATAATAAGAAAAATTCGCGGTGGATATATTAATAATTGTAATTTATCTATACAATCTGTGTTAATATTATCAATACATGATGTTATAGATTGAATGGTTGCATCATTCCATGGTAATATTTGTTGTGCAACAAATTTTAAATAATCGTCTGTTGTTGCTGTAGGTGAATTTAATCGTGAATATAAATCAAAACTACTGAAATTATTGGTAAAATCATCGGGTCTTTGTATTTTTTCAATGGCTTGTTCACCAGAGATTAATTCAATAATAGATGAATTTGCATTTTTTAATCTTAACTCTGTGTTATTCATCTTAATAAATTAAAATTAGAAAATCTAAAAATTATACGAACATGAGAACAAATTCAACAGCTAGATTTACGAAATAATTGCAACATATTACTTATGATTTCGCTCTTTATTCTTAACACGTGTAATTGCACGACACCATTGAAAATATGAATGGTAAAGAAAAGAAAAAAATAATCCATATTTACATAAAATATATATATACAAAGAAAGAATCAACAAACGTTTTTATTTCGTTCTCGTTATAACGACGTATTTCATATGAGTCATTACATTCGTTTATTAAAAGTAAACAATAAAAACTAAATACTTCGTTATCCTGAAGTCGAAAAAAGGTTATTTTAAAACTACAGTTTGGATGTAGGTGTGAATTGGAACACAGAAAGCCACACCCTCATAACGACGCTTTGTAAAAATACAGGACGTCAATTTTGAATTAGATTTAAATACTTTTCGATAAGAACTGTTTTTATGTAAAACGTAGCTAATAGGTGAGACAGATTGAATGTCTCAGTCGCTTAATACATTGTATTGAAAAAAATATACCACAAGGTACAGCACGAAAAGCTTTACACTTGACAAAGAACAGCTTATTTAATAGATAAGATAAGAAAAAATAAATTCTTTTACCAAAAACAAAATATCGTGTTCCCACGATCGAAAATTACTTACTCAAAATTTAGTTTATTTTGTAAACACAAAAAAGTATAAATTGTAGAGCTTTTCAAGCTGCATCTATTGATATATTTTCTTTTTTAATACAATGTATTGACTAAGACATTTAATCTGTCAGTCTTTATAAAAATAAAAGTTCTTCAACCATTCAACAAGAAATTGATATAGCTCCGTAAAGACTCTTAGTATGCCCTAAGTACTTTGGTACAAAAAGAACTTGAATCTTCCATCCAAAATAAAAAAATTATAATTTATAAGATTAAATTTTCGCTTTTTAATGACATGAATAATTTATTTGATTCTTGAATATATATAGTTTTTTTTTCGTTTCATTGCGTTTTGTTTTGATAGATTTTTGAAGTATCTACGCGTATATAAAATATGAAGTTATTCTCTGGGCAATATATATATAGGAGAAATGCGTTCTTTGTACCCACATGTTTTATTGTTAGAATTCTGTAATTATAAGTCTTATGAATGATACTTAAAATGTCGCAATGTCTGTCCATGCAGCCGGTTGTTGCATTATAATGAAAAGTAATGGCTTTAATTACATGATAATGCAACAGCTGACTATATAAATGAGAACAAAAAAAAAGAAGAGAAAATTATAGTAAACCGAGAGAAAAAAGTAGTATTTTTTCAGAATAAAAATGTAACTTAATGAAAAGAATTGTCTAATATGATTTTTTTGATAAATGAATAACACATTACTCAATGTAACAATACTCTCACGTTCTATTGCATGTTACTTTTTTAAACAAACACAAGAAAGTAAGAAGGAATTACTTTCTATTCTTAGATTATTAGTTTTTTTTTATTTTACTAATAAGGTATATAGTTAATGAAAGATGAAAATTTTTCGAGAGTATTAACGATCATCTTTTGCTTTATTCTTTCATCCCACACGTGTTCATTGACCCTCATAGAAAAAAAAATAACGGAGAAGAAAGAACGAAAGAAAGAAATATTTATATGTGACTGAGTAAAAATAAAGAAAAGAAAAATGACGAAATAGATATGCATGACGGCACATACGATTTTAAAAGATAAACGATAACAGCGGGGTGTATTACTATTATATTTTGATAGATGAAAATATCAGTAAGATAAGATATTTTTTTTATTTATTGATATTTGTACAATAAATGAATATTCTATTCTTCCTCTACAAATATTTGTTTTTAATCTATCAAAAAAGTATATAGACAGACGAGGTGAATAAGTGTATCGATAATGAGGATATTATATTTTAGTATATATGATAGTAGAAGTAATTTAGTTTTTTTTTTAAAGATTGAATAAATTATGTCCATAGACACAAAAGAATTAACCTATATCAATTTTGATTGTAATTGGCAATGTTGTTATCAACAAACGACTGATCATGTCGATAATTTTATTAATATTTTGTTTTCAAATAATTCCGATGTTAATCATCTATGGTCATCAGTACGATTACCACATATTATTGAATCTTGTACAACACATGATAATTGTGATATTCATGGTTCACATGATTGGTGGTATCGAAAAGAATTCGATTGGATATTATCCGATCAACAACAAAAACATCAAGTTTATCTTTTATTTGAATCGAATTTAACTAAATTAAATATTAATGCGACAATATGGTTTAATGGAGAAAAAATTATTTCAAATTCATCATTATTACAACAAAATTCAATTGATTTAACAGATAAATTATTACGTTATACAGAGACAACAGAGAAAAATAAACATAACAATGTTTTAATTGTCCATTGTATAGATTCAAGTCTTTCTCTTCATGCTCGTCTTATTATACATGGTACAGTAATATGGGCTACAGGACAAGTCAAAACAAATGATGATTCAAGTTTAAAAATCGAAAAAGATACTCTTGATTATGCAGTACGTGCTAATGATGCAGATCAACGTATCGGTGTTGTATTTAATCAATCAGAAACTGATTTAGAATCTTCATCATTAACAGAACTTCCTGTCGAACCAATCAGTGATGAAACAGAAATCGAAGAGAATTCAAAAGATATATCAATACCTCGTCTTAATATTGTTATACTTATTGTTGGAACGCGTGGTGATGTTCAACCTTTTATTGCGTGAGTTTCATTGATGTTAAATTATTTTAATGTTTTTAAAGAGATTTTTTAACGATATAGATATATTTTGTATAATTTATTTCTTCTACAGTCTTGGTAAAGCACTTCTTGAATATGGTCATCGTGTTCGATTAGCTACACATGAAACATTTCGATCATTTGTTCGTGATAATGGTTTAGAATTTTATCCATTAGCTGGTGATCCGGCTGATTTAATGTCATTTATGGTAAAGAATGCAGGTATTATTCCATCGATGAGTAGTATTGTTGCAGGTGATATAGCGAAAAAACGACGTATTCTTGCTGAAATTCTTGCATCAACATGGCTTGCATGTACAGCTAATGATGATGAAACATCAATTCCATTTACAGCTGAAGCTATTATTGCTAATCCACCATCATTTGGTCATATACATTGTGCGGAAAAATTACAAATACCTTTACATATTATGTTTACTATGCCTTGGACACCTACAAGTGCTTTCCCACATCCATTATGTAATATTGATAGTTCAAGAGGACCGACAGGAAAAATTAATTTCTATTCATATTCTGTTGTTGAAATGCTTGTAAGTCTTATTTTTTTTGTAATTAGAATATCCAATGAAATATTTTATATTTTATAGACATGGTCAGGTATGCGTGGTATTGTTAATAGTTTTCGTAAGAAAATTTTAGGTCTATCTCCATTACATGCACAACAAGCTACAAATGCACTTATTGATGAACGTGTTCCACATACATATTGTTGGTCACCATCGCTTGTTGCAAGACCATCCGATTGGGAATCACATATTGATGTTTCAGGTTTTTTCTTTCTTGATCTTGGTAATACGTTTACCAATCCACCACAAGATTTACTTGATTTTCTTGGTATTAATAATGATGATTCTAATGATCCGAAATTACCATTACCGATTTATATTGGATTTGGTTCGATTACAGGACATGATTCTTGTCGTCTTCTTGAAGTTATTAAAGATGCTCTTAATAGAACTGGAAATCGAGCTGTATTATCTGGTTTTGAAACAGAAACGGATAGTTTACCTGATAATATTTTTAAAATTGGCAATGTACCACATGATTGGCTTTTTCAGCATGGTAAATTTAGTTAAAATATATATATATATTGTTTCTCATATTTTTTATTTAGTATCGGCTGTATGTCATCATGGTGGAGCAGGTACAACAGCAGCTGGTTTACGTGCTGGTAAACCAACAATAATCGTACCTTTTTTTTGGTGATCAATTCTTTTGGGGTAATATAATTGAAAAAAGTGGTGCTGGTCCTCGTCCATTACCTGGAAAATCAGTAACAGCTGCTGAATTAGCTGAAGCTTTTCAGTTTGTTCATTTACCAACAACACGAGAAGCTGCCGAACATATTCGTCAAACTATGGAAAAAGAAGATGGATGTCAAGCAGCTGTTCGTGCATTTCATTCTAATCTTCCTATAAATCGTATGCGTAGCGATCTTCAATCAACATTTACTGCTTGTTATTGTATAGATAATTTAAATCTTCAAATATCACGACCTGTTGCACATGCCCTTGTTGCAGCAGGTGCTATAGATGTATCACAACTTCGTTCTCATTATATTCGAAGATGGCAATTTAAACATGAGCATAAACGTCATAGATCAAGTAATAATACTTCTGAAAATATCACAAAACCACGTTCACATACAATGATTGATAATGATATGGGATCAAGATTAAGGAGTAGTACTATCAGTAATAATAATTCTACGACGAATACACATGATGATGCGAGTATTATTAATAGCTTTCACGAGAATGGAGACGATTCATCGATGTTATCTTCGTCAGTATATAGTAATATGACTAATGGATCTGATGGTTTCTCTTCATTAAATGATACTCACAGGTAAGAGATCATTTTCAAAAAAAACTTATAAGATTTTTTTTAATATAGTGAACTAAATGCAAAGCATGAACCAAGTGAAAATCATTCGAAAACAAGATTTAAAACATCTGTATATTCAGTATATCGTAATCGAAAACTTAGTCTCATTAATTATCTAAAACGATCAAGAATTGGTCATCAACAACCAAGTGAAAATAGTATTACAGCTGATGCATTGATTGCTACTACTGAATATGCAATGCAACCTGTAGTTTGTTCACTTTTCGCTCCGATGCCACAAGCAAAAGTCGAAACATCTGAAATAGATGAAACAAATTCTAAACCTAAAATATCTGATATTGTACCAGCAACATCATTGATCATACCTAATGGAGAAGAACATGAAGATGATGATGATGATGATGAAATTTCATCTAATATTAAAATTGCAGCAGAAGTCTCTGGTTTTCATCCAAAAATATGTCAACAGATTATTCAAGAATTTGAACAAATTAAAACAAAACAAACTAAAGTATTAACGAATTCATTCGATTCAAAACAACATCATAAGCATTTGCTTCATCTTCAACGACAACGAAGTCATTCGCTTTCTAATATAAATTAAAAATTTAGATTTAAACATTATTTTCTATTATTTTTTACTTTTTTTCTTATGAACATATATCTTTTTAGTATCAACGTTGTACTATTAATTTGTACAAATGTTCATTTTTATTTATTCTTAATAAATAAATAAAAACAATGTTCGACAAATATTATACTCTCGATCATTTAGATGGGTGTGGGTGCGGATGTACACTTTCCACTTTCGCGCATTAACAAATAAAAACGAAATGTAAAAGAATGATTATAGAGTTGTATCTCTGATAGTCGATAGTGGATGCGGTTGAATTTGAATATTTCGAAATAAATTTGTTCTATGACATAAGAAGAATAATTTTGCTTCTTGTCTAAATGAATTCGATGAAATAAAAAAAACGAAAAATGAACATGCAAATGACATATAAAATAAAAGTGTAACGATATTTGTAATTATATTTTCGATTATTCTTTGATTCGAAGTTTTTATTATTGTTGCAGAAAAAACTGTATATTCTGTAAATATTACATATGGTAATGTTGAACAAATTATTATCGGTATTTGTATAAGCATCATTTTTGTTAATTGTTTTTGAATTATTTCACGTTGACGTGTTATCTGTAGTTTATTTGTATTTCGATATGTCATTAAACCTGTTATTATTAGAATTGTACTTGGTAATAAACCAAGATAAATAGGTAATGAAACATATAATCGATAATTCATATGAGCTTGTGGTGAAATAACTGAACAAAATGTTAAACCTGTATATGGATTTTTTATTATGATACCGTAGATTAATTCCGGAAGTGAATGAATTAACCAAAATATAATTGTTAAAAAAAACTGCCCATCGCGAAAATGATAATCGACTTAAATTTCTATATTTTTCTTGTCGACAACTAATTAAGAATCGATCAATACTTGCTAAACATACACATGTTAATGACATAAAATAACCTGCTTGACTAAAAGCAACACGTGTTTTACACCAAATTAAATTTGTTG